CTTTAACTTGGATAATTAGGTTTGAAATTAGTTTAAAACAACATATTTAGTTTTTTAAAAATATGTTTATCTTTATAAACAAGACTGTTTAGTGGGTGTCCATAAATCGACATGATATGAAAATATATCTTTTTCATTGTATTATAAACAAATTTCTTAGGACTGTATTGGTCTGCATTTTGTTACAAGATAACTTACTTAATTGACAAGAAAAACAGCACTAAAAGGCTAGAAGGCTAGAATACTATTTTAAATAAAAACTACATAGCAAAATAAATAAAGATACACATAGATCCCACTAGAATCTGGACTCAGGACAGGTGCTTTGAAATAACCATGCCCAAAAGTTAACATACGGATAGAACCGGCAATTATGGAACTTTCAAAAAGTTTATATATGTACACTTACTGATTACGAACGAATCACTTCGATGTCTGCTTTTACATAGGGCACAAATTATAACAATAGATATAAGAAATGCTGCAGCACCAAAAAATATTCCTATAATGGCTCCTGCATCCTTACAGCAATGTTTTCTGCCATCTATTTCAGTTGAACCACAACAACCAGCAAGGCAGAACTCGTGTACCGTGTAATCGATAAAAAAGGGTGGTGTTATGTGTTTATAGTAGCATGATCCTGCATTCATTCCGGCTTCAGTAAAACAAAATGAGTCATGGTTAGATAAACTCAAATCCAACAGTATGAAATATTAATACCAACAAAAAGTAAGGTAATAATCAGGATAATTGCATACCTTTTGATCAATAAAAAATTATCGACATGTGTTTATAAATGAGAGAATGGTCGGTTACTGTTTTAGTATATATGACTCAACATTGGTTTACAGGTTTCGGACAAGTTTCATTTTTCTCACGCTCGTATTTGGTATATCGGTTTTGAACAAGTTTCATCATTTTTCACACCCTGCATGGTAATTAAAGCCGAAGAAGTGAAAATAAACATGCAAGACATGTTTGATACGACTAAATGTTATTTCAAAAAAAGGATGACACTTCAATTTCTGACTTGAATTTTTTTTTTTTTGCATGTCTGTAAAATATCATGTATGGAGGAAAATGATATTTCAAAAAAAGTTATACACTTCAATTTCTGACTTAAATAAATTTAGTTGCGTGGCTTCAAAATTTCGTGGATGGAGGAAACGTGGTATTTTCATGGTTTCGTCAAATTCTTGATACAAGTCTATCGGAAACTTGTATTTTGTTGATTACTGAAATTTGTGGTTAACACACTCGCAAGCAATCCACAAAAAGTACCCAGCAATCTTAAATGATCTTTACATGATAAAGATGCTAGCAAGATGTTTTCTTAAATAGAAATGGAGGCTGGCTTTCAAATACTTGGCTTTTAACGTTCCTAATGAAGATTATTACAGAAAAGCGCTAAGGATGCAAATGATGTATAAAGTATTATTTTCAATATTTCTAACAATTAAGTGGTATAAAGCTTATGTTCAAATTACAATTAAGAGATTCAGGGTTTCAAGTTACAGGACGCGCTAAAAATGAAAACGAAATTTATCAATTTTTTCATTATATTCTAAATCATTCGACGAGAAAGAAGTTTACTGTTCAAAACTCGTTTATCCATTTTGAATAAAACAAACCACTTGCAAAACATCATCCACCATCTATTCAATAAACATTTTACTTACATCTGTATTTTTTTTATTTAAAAGGATTTGTTTAACTCAAAAATAAGCGTGACCGGCTAACTGACTGTTGCGTCAACCAGGTAAGCGTTTTTTGCTATGCATTCATCCGCGATATAAATACGTATCTAAGAATCGGTCAAACTTTCAAGGAAGATGAAAGACTAAATCGGTAAATTTTAGATAAGACTCCAAAGACATATCGTTCCCGCTAAGACATTAGTGTTGATGACCCGTTCTCGGCTTGTGAAGTGTCAATATCAGTCGTGTTTCCTTGTAACCCTCCTGCAACAACACATGTCATAAAGAGCACAAAGCTTGTTATAAGTCCGTTTATTATAAATATTCAGGATAATACGCATCACTTGTTATAGTTTAACACTGTACAATGGCACATGGTGTATTTTTAACTGACATACGTCGACAATTCAAAACACTGAAATCGCCACAAGTTTGTCATAATTCTACTTATTTATATTTTACAATTGTTGGACAACTGAGTACTGTTATTGGCATTAAATTCACACACACATTATAGATATTAGACAATGTTTTCGTGTATACATGTATAGACATATTCTGTATAATATGTTTGAAAACAACAAATTTGTAATTATTACGTAAAGGTTAGTATACAATACGTATAATAAACTTACCGAAGATCGACCATAGCAATACAATTATCTTCATATTTCTATTTGTTCAAAGGGGTACGTCTAATTTAATTTTTTGTTAAGTTCCTGGTTACATTAAAGGCGGAAGGTTTTACTTCCTTATATAACTAATCATATGATTTATTGGTGATTATTGATTAGCAAATAATGGATACACATCATATTATTAACTATTATACCTTCCGTGTTTTCAAGGTTATAAAATCAACCTCCATTTGTCGTGATTGTTTTAAAATATATTTTTGTTTATTTATTTACCTATTTTGTAAACAAATATACACTAATTTATTTCCGTAAAAGTGACTTTGAATTTCGACATTATCACTGTCCTTGTACTCGTGGTGCTGGTTTTTGAAAATCTTCATCATTACAAAAAGGTAAAATCAAAAAGGGGAGACCAGAGTTACCAATTGAAAAAAAAATGATAGGCGAAACAAACAACACTTTACCATTATAGCAAAAAGAGAATTACGAACAGACAGATTATGAATTTTACTTAATTGGGAACGCTAAAACATATTTAATCCAAGGATGTATAAATACTTAATAAATATACTTCAGATTTATTGACAAAAAGGCAAAAACAGGTATATTTTGTCTTAAGGGTTGGAATCTTAGTTTCTTTATAAAAACGGATAATTTACGAAAGGTATGTAACAAAATACAAATTACTGACATGATTTTCTGCGGTAATAAGTAGTAAACCTTCTCGCCACAGGTCGGTCCCTCGAACTCACAACCTCTGATTTGACTTGCTAGTGATAACATTAAAGAACTTACTAGACAACTTAGCCCCCAAACAATGAGAATAAGAAAATGAAAGCCAGAATTGATAAGGTGCAACACGAACCAAACGAAACCAAATACTTTAACAAATTCAATTTTTCAAGAAGGGTAAGCAAATGGTCCCATAACAGTTACAACCGTTGATTTGAAATTAAAATAATATTTGAAATTTAGGAAGTTCAATGTTTTGGTCATGTCTATAACTAGTTGAGTTTGAAATAAACATAGACGAAACTCGAAGAAGTAAAGAAGAGAATACACGTGAGTTGTTTGATTAATCTGTTTTAACTGTTTATACAACTTTACCTTCTTCAAAATACTTAGGATTTTCCACCCAAGGAATAGATAACCTTGGTTGTTTTTTGCAAAACCTTTCGGAATTTTGGGTGTTCAAAGCTCTTCAACTTCGCACTTTCTTTAGCCTTTTAAACGTTTTTTATTCTAGTTTCATTGATGAGTCTTTTGTAGACTAAACGTGCATCTGGCGTACAGAATTTTAATTCTGGTATTTATGTATTTATTTGTTAAACGCTGACTATATGGTACTCCAAATATATGTCATATAATGTTATCCTCTGAAAACATAACGGTTAAAGACAGAATTGAATGAATAGTAACTTTCATTTATTTCATTGATCCTGAGTAACGGTTGTATCAAAGAATTTATTGTTGTTCTTTTGTTTCTTTTGTTTCTTTTTTCTTTGTTAAGAGTTTGGGTTTTTTTCCGTTTATTTCCAAGATCGAAACGGTTGTCATATCTAAACCTTTTTTTTTTATTTCGAGAAATTGATGTCGAAGGTCTTTTTCGTTTAATTTATACACAACATGTTGCGACTCTGGGAGATTTACAGCTTCACATATTGTGACGACATATGCTCATTGTTGTGTTCAACCTTTTGCTCATTGTTGAAGGCCGTACGATAACATATAGTTGTTAACCTCTATGTCGTTTGGTCTCTGATAGAGACATCTTCTTATTTTTATATCTAGATATATTTAAGCTATATGTTTCGTTTGCTTACTGACACATTGGCGTATATCCCACTTCTCCTTTTGTTCATATGGTTTATTATAAAAGCGGTTATCTTGACTGAAAAAAAAGTTTTTCAAACGAATTTTATTATGGTCCGTTTGATTTCTTTAAGTCTTCGAATATAACATTATATCTCAGACGCTCCGGAATGGAAAGCAGATACTTCTTCCCTTGATGCATCCGTCGTAACACTCATTACGTTAGGTTTTTCTACGTGTAATAATTCATTATGGTTTAAACTATCCCTTTTGCATAATAAGTGCCAGAAGAGTAATTCAACAAAGATAAGCTAAATACGGATCACAACTCTCACCTCTAGTCACGTTATCAAACGTCATATATAATATGAATAAAGTTGAAAGATGAAACAACTTTTTAAATGATTAAATCTTAATATGTACATACATTACTTTTAGAAAAGCACCGAAAAGTATATGCCCGCTAAAATATTGGCTGAATAATCGCTTTGCAGGCAAAACTTCCGGCTTTTTTGCTTTCATGTTTATACAGGGTTGTTTAAAGAAAACTATTACTAGAAGATGTTACGTAATGTTCTAATTTTTAAAATATTACGTACGACTGACTAATTGTTATAGTAATGTAGTCGTTATAGACTGAATAAGTTGAGGATAAGCCAAACATTTTATTGTAAATAGGATTTTCAAAAGCGTGGAGGTTTAAGGTAGCACGTGAGTTTAGAAAATACGTCAATTACTTTTGAAATTAATCGTTCTTAATCAAACATATGATAACAGCTGATTCCGTATACTAATTTAAGTGTCATATTAGGAAGTAATTAAGTTAAACTTCCCTCTTCAATGTTGCTAAAAATTCATTTCTACTAAATATCTAAGTAAGATAAACGGTGTTTATTGAAACATGGAAAACATTGTTTTGATATCGTCATTCTTTGGTAAGTGAATTACTTATATCAGATAAGTTCATTTAGTTTTACATTCAAACTATCAACGAATTGTTTTCAGATTAATGTGCGGATGCATGTATTCAGACATTTTCTTATATACATTTGAACGAATGTAACGTCACGCGTTGTATTTAATTGTAAACAGCCCCATATGAAATGTTACTTTTCTTATCAACATCAGCAAAAATCAAATGATATAATGTAGAGGTTTTGCGCCTCGTGCAACTTGGAATCGTTGATCAAGGCCTGTATTTAAGAACTTTTATTTAGCGTTGGATCAAATAAATTATTTCTATTTTATTTTTAAAAAAACATGTAAGTAACTTTACACAGGAAATTATGATTTTTTTTGTACTCTTCTACTAAATAAAATCAGACCCAGTTACGGAATTCAAAAACCCACCAAATAGGGTTTTTCTTTTTTAAAGATCAACACACAACTAATTGCGAGGTGAAGTACGATAAAACATAATGTAACCGACGACATTACGTTTTTAACACATTAGAATTAATAAAAATGATTCAAACAATCTATAAAAATGGTTAAAGTCGATTTTTGTACGCACAATATTTGGTTGAACAATAATCTTCATTAAGTACGTTATAGAGAAAACGTTTGGAAAAACCCTCATCACAAATACAAGGCTTATAAGTTTGTATGCCAGAAGCGCGTTTCATTTACATGAGACATGTAAGACTCATCAGTGCTGCTGGAACCATGCAGTTGAAAGGCCATATCAAATACGAAGTTGAAGGGAGCAAAACACCGAAAATTTCGAAAAGCGGTATCAAATATGGCTGAAGGAAGAAAACCCTTATTTTTTCGAAAAAAATTCAACATTTTATAATCAAGAAAACCAGGAATATATTAAAGCAGAATAGCCAAAACTTGTTCACAATTAGCTTTAGTTTCATATAATAATATGAATTATGAAATGAAAACTGACAAACAGATTAAATAGATTACTACCAAACAGATTTCGTCTGTTGGTAATAGACCACTTTCGAGTTATGTCCTTCACCGGACAAGTTCGTCAATTATTCGCGCCTTTATGACGTCATTTAGATAGAGAGGACCGCCTGTATCCCTGTACTATTAAAGTCCATCAAGCGTCTACTTGATCGTCATTGCGCAGGCTAATCTAGGAATAATGTTTGTTCCGTAGGTACTTAATCACAATTCTCTAATGACAGCAGTGCTGATTATCAATTATAAGAATTTAATTTGCCGAATAACTCGTGCAATATAGCATCATATTTTTTTCAACCGCTCACTCAACATGCAACGAACTCGAAAGTGGTCTATTCGTTTTGATTTATTAAGTGAAGTTAACGTTACATATTTTTCTTCTTCTTCTGAAGCTGGAGTGTATGCAGGATCCTGCTACTACGAACATAAGGAGGTCCTGACTCCAAATCCCTTTGAATTTTACTACAGCAATTCCTATAATTATGAGTACTGTCTTGCTGGCTGTTGTGGCGCCTATAAACCTGGTAGGATTAAACACTGCTGTGACTCGACAGGAGCTACAATTGGGATTCTGGTTGCTGTGGTAGTGTTCGTTGCATTTATTGTCACAGCTGGTTTCGTGTATAGGCGAAGACGACGACTGTTACTGGCTAACGGTATGAATATTCTTGTGATATTGTAATTGTTATTTTCCGCATTTTGCTGGGGTGACATAATTTTGTTTTCTCCGTTCGTCCGACACATTTGTAAACACTCAAATCTTTTTCCTTTAATGTGTTTTATAGAAAATTTTCGAACTTGTAATGATTTTTTTTCGTCAAGTCTAATTGACCATACTTTGATTTAACAGTATATGTAAATACTATCGTGCTTTGACCGTTTTTAGTATATTTTAACACAATGACGCACATCATTATGTGTAACTGTCTTTATGTTGAACCTTTTATTTTTTACAATGATAATGGGATAATTTTGTAAAATATGACAGTCATTAGCTCCACTGACGTTATTGTTATAATGGCTTGTTTATTCGTAAGGGGATTTATATCATATCCCTATGTTACAAAAAATCATTTCCTCAAGCTGACGAAATAAAAACAAAATTCACAAACAAACAAAATCAAATTCAAAGACTATCAATTAATCTTATTTGATACACAGCCATATTCATATTGTAGCTGGATCGACTGAACAAAACAGATCGGTGACACCAGGTTCTATGTCGGAGCCGTCAACAGATAGTCATACTCATTATTAAAGTCAACACATACCAATTACCAACAAACAGGAACCGGAAATGGATGTCCTTACCTCAGTAATGAATAACGCCTGCATTATAGACAAAATACTGCTTAGTTTGCAAGAGATATGATAGTTTTGTATTCTATTTACTTAATATACGGTTTTTTAAGATTGTATATTGTTTTGATGGTTTTTTTTCGCAATTGAGTTGGTTATGTTTTTACTCTAGTTCTTACTTTTTCTTAGAATGCATTCCACCATGCATACCGCAAATTTGTATTTGCTTTGGTTTGTTAATCTACTCCAGCTTGCCAAATAAAGTTCAGCAGTTAGTTCATTCATCCGTCAGTTCTGTTGAATAAAAACGTTTGATATATGATTTCACCAGTTTCGAGAATATACCTCTTTGTGTACGCTCTCAAATATATAAGAAGAACATAACCCGTGTCATGCCAACAACTGGTTTTAGAATAAATGTGTTAATTCCGATGCAAAAATCCTATAAGTGAATCAATATTTCTATTCATTTTTAATATTGATGTTTTATTCTCCCAGAGATTGAATAGATGTCAACAAGGTGTATACTATTAGATAGTATGAAGGGATACGGATAATATGATTAACATTAGAGATACGGCAACAATACATTCACTTTGACATATGATACTGTAAATAGCCGTAATGTGTCTGCATTATCTCATCAAAGTTTTGTTTGGCCGGATTTTGGTGATATTGTTTGCTTAATATGATCCGCAATACAATAAATAAGTTGAAAAATATAACACCTATAATAATCCCATCATTGATGTCGACCATACAAACTTATGAAGTGATATTTGAGTTCTGCCTCATAATCTAGACAGCGTAGCTTCGGGGTTGAGATCATTCTGTTGTGTGAACCATATATAATAAGAAGAGGTCCTTCTTAATGACTAGTTGTACAAAAGTATGTACGGAACAATTTATCAATGCCTTTATTTCGGCTTGAAACTGCTATTCTTTTAGTTTTTCGACATTGCTATCAATTAAGGATATATATGTGTTACTTACGAGATTGGATTTTTTATAATCACCTGTAATCGACCTAAGGATAGTTAGTTGTTCTCTTCAGTTGATGATATTACTTTAATTTTCATACGAAGATTCGCAATTATCGATATCAGATTAAAATGCAAATAATGTTACCATGCATCTTTTAAACTTCTCTAACAACGCATTGGTTCGTCAGTTGATCCTTTACGGAATATTCAAGATTTGTAACAATGAAACAAGACTTCAACAAAATATTTCAGGCACATATTTCATTGCTTGACGAACCTTTACTGTGTAGTGGAATTTTGTTAAAGCATCAGATCACCATTTTAAATATATTTGTGTTGTCTTTTATATAAATCTACTCGGGTCTTTGGGTCAAACATCTTTTCCTTTCATGTTTTCTAGATATGTATATCCAATTTATTTAGACTTCAAAAATGATTAGAGACACTAAACACGGAAAATTATTTTAAGATATGCCCTAGTTGAAATATTCATTACTAATATGACAAAATTGCAATGTGTGTATCCTGCATACCGGTATCAAACTTGTTCAAAATATCTGCCAAAAAGTGCACCAAAATGAAGTAAAAAAGAAACTATCAACAATCATACTGTTTTACTTGTAGGGGAAAATATAGTGTCAAAACATTTTCGCATTTTCAAAAACTTAGAAATGGAACACTTCATTGTTTGGCGCATACACTACAATATCGGTAATAGTTATTAATCCACGAGAACACGTTCTTGGTAATAGTAATAATGAATAAAAGAAGAGTTTTCATAAAACAACTATGTAGGCAAATTCAAGCATTCTTTATTATTCTTTATTATTCCTATGGACACCAATTGCGCGTCTTTAATAGCAGACTTGTTATGAATCACAGTTTTTGACCAAATTCAGTAAAGACCCGTCTAAACTGCATTTGATTGATAAACTCAACAACACTTACCGTTATCTTGATGATATTGTTTCGTTAAATAATCAAGAATTTTCTAAATATACTGCCGAACTTACTTTAAATAAATCAAATATAAACGGTAATAACTGTCCTTTCCTAGATTTAGATATTTCAGTTTTACACGGGAAACTCTACACTAAAATGTACGACAAAAGGGACGATTTTTCGTTCCTTATGTTAATTTTCCTTTTTTGGACGGTGATGTTCCTTTGGCACCATCTTACGGTGCTTATATATAACAACTCGTTCGTTATGCCCGTGTCTGTTGTTACGTTTTTGATTTCAATGAACGTAATCTATGTATTACTGGTAAATTATTAAGTCAGGGATTTCGTTACCATAAATTACTTAAAAACTTTATCAAATTCTTCCAAAGATATAAAGATTTGGTTTTGAAGTTTGGTTGTACCTGTAGAAAACTTATTTCAAACGGGATAGCACATCCTTTTTTATACGGGGATGTTGCTTTCCGAGCCCGGAAATTTAGAAACGATCCGGGTAAACTTATCGATCCTTTAAATTAACTTATTCTAAAAGGTTACCAATTCAATACTGTAATTAGATCTTTGAATATTGTTTTTATTGGTATTAATATTGATTTTGTTATCTGAAAATTAAAATCAAACAAAATATTATTTGTATATACATATGCACATGGCTCTACAAAATGTCGATACCTGTATCTTGGCATTGAACAAGGTCATGTTTTTCTCTGACTGTTTATGACGTTTTTACATTAAATCCATTGGATTTTTGATGTGTACTGATTGATATTTTATTCTTAGATGCATGATTTTAGTTGTTATTGTCTTTGAACTAGCTGTCAGTAACTGCGAGTACTCTCAGATCTTTCCTTAGTGTCTTTTTGTTGTGGGGATGTATAAGTACCCTGCCACGTCCACTCTGAGTTTTTGTCATATATATTTCTATTTGTATCCATCTGATGAGTTCAGCCTTTTTCAACTGATTTTTATAGTTTGTTATTATGTTGTACTGTTACACTACTGTCCCAGGTTGGGGACAGGCTGACGCCTTCAAACGAGTTGAACCCCGCCACATTCTGTATGTGCCTGTCCCAAGATATGAGCCTGTAATTCAGTGGTTGTCGTTTGTTGCTGTGTAAAATGTTTGTTTTTCGTTCATGATTTTGTACATACATTAGGCCGTTAGTTTTCTCGTTTAAATTGTTTTACATTTATCATTATGGGGCCTTTTATAGCTGACTATACGGTATGGGCTTTGCTCCTTGTTGAAGACCGTACGGTGACCTATAGTTGTTGATTTCGGTGTCATTTGGTCTCTTGTGGAGAGTTGTCACATTGGCAATCATACGACATCTTCTTATTTTTATATTTATTCCAATATGAAAAGTTAATGCAAACACATTGAGAATACCGTACATATATATATATATATACATTTGTTTATGTCCTTTTGAAAAATGAAAGAGCTATGTCAAAAATGCTTAAGGCAAAAATGATCAGCATGACACTATTCATCTACACTTAAAATATAAGAAAACATTGGCCGCCTGTGTTGGAGCCATCGTTCCAAACATGTCGAACTTTATTGTTTTTTTGCTATTATTGAGATATTATTGGAAATAGGTTATAAGTGAGTTTTAGGGTTCTTGTCTCTGAAATGTTGATTTTTATTGCATGTTTTGACAGTTTTCAATGTGAGGTGAGCGATACAAGCTCAGGTGAACTTATTGTTCTGATTTGATTTTGATTTTCATCTTTTATTTTTCTTTAGTAGCTGTATAAAATACATAAATGTACTTCTGAAACGGATGCTCCTCCAATAGACCACTTTCGAGTTCGTTGCATTTACGTAAACAAACTTTGGTTTTAGTTAATATCATTCGTGCGTTTAGGGGCATCGTCACTTCCTTCTATAAAACAACTATGTAGTTGCATTCTTGATTCCAATATTAACAATTAATGCAAACACATCGAAAAGACCGTACATATACATTTGTTTATTTCCTTTTGAAAAATGAAGGAGCTAGGTCAAAAATGCATTTCTTAAAATTATGAACAGCTTGACAAAGTCCATCTACACTTAAAATATAAGAAAACATTTGCAACCTGTGTTGGAGCTATTGTCCCAAAAATGTCGAACTTTATTGTTTTTGCTGTTATCGAGATAGTATTGGATTAAGGTTATAAGTGAAATGAAAATTGCAAAAAATGATCAGCATGACAAAGCCTACACCCAAACCAATTGAAAATTTCAGACAACCTGTTTTTGGGTTGTAGTCTCTGAAATAATGATTTTTAATGCGTGTTTTTCATGTGTTTGACAGTTATCAATGTGAGGTGAGCGATACAAGCTTAAGCTTGGATGAAATTCTTGTCCTGATTTGATTTTGATTGTTTGTCTATTGTTTTTCTTTTGGGTAGCTTTATAGAATACTTCTGAAACGGATACTTCTCCAATTATGATTTCTTAATTATTGTTCAATGTTACATAAATATTGTTCAATTGATCATTAGTTAAATTATAACAGTAATAAATTCAGCGTTTTTGTTTACCTGTGCGTTTTATTAATTCGATGCAAAGTTCGGCCAATACGTGGATGTTATTGGGTTTCTACGACAGATAAACGTGTTTCTTTAACTTTGCAGTTGCGGAGTTTGCAAAAGTTATAACTTCATATATATATCTATTTATTCCTTTTATACCATCCATTGTTCTATATAGACAAATAGACATATACAGGGATTTATTGGAATGTCATATAAGGAAGTGTGAACGGTTACCTTCCGTGTTTAATTCAACAAGGAACTTTACATTCAATCAGACTGTATGTACCCGTTTAATAAATAAAAATATGAAAGGTTGTGTTATTGCCGTTTTTGGTATGTTTATTATCAGACTAGTACATTGATCTTACGGTTTTGTGATAAATATGTTCTTTTAAAAACGAAATAAGTGTATATATGCAGACTATCGCATTAAACATTTAATTTGTACGTAAGGGGTAAAAGCCCTAAAAATTATTACAATAGGTTAACAAAGGACAAGGTACGATAAGGCACGTTTTTGGCCCCCCTATTTTCTCATTTTTCAAATTTTGTTTTGGAAAGCTACTTAACATGTTAAAATACCCCCTGAGGTTTGAAGTTTGTTTGGTTGAACTTCAAAATCGCTAATTTTAGAAACTTGATGAGGTGAGGGGGGTAAACTTTCTGTTATTATTCAAATATTGTTATTATTATTC